CTGTGTCTCTTCACTGCTGGGTGGAGAGCCAGGACACAAGCTCTCTTCAATCTCAGGAAAGATCAGGGACATGGCCTAGGACATGGCCCTCTTTCAGCATTTTCAGTGGCTGTAATTTATAATTAACACAGCAGCTGTGCTGTGGAACATTCATGGTTTCTAACAGTTTACATCTTAACTGATTAAGAAGAGAATGCAGTGTCTGTCAATCTCATTTTTATAATGACTGTTAGAAGTGGAATTTCCAGGTTAAATATATATAAGATTAATTTGAGGATCTCAGATTTTTCACCTGAAACCTCAGCATAGAGTTAGAGCCTGGTAGAGGAAGACTGAGTCTGCTCAGATCTATGTGGAGATCTAAAGTCAGAGAGATGGTCCAGGCAGAGGTGTAGGATACCATGGCTTAAAATGGCCTGGTCCCGGCCTCCTCATCCATCAGTAAGTTCTCAGGAAAGCATCACACACTGTACGCTGCAAAGGAGAGAGCTGGAATGGTTCCAGAGCTCCTCCCTACATGCTTGAGGCCCCCTCTCTCACTCAGGGGAGCTCTGTATGAGGTCAGTCTATTACAGAGCCCAACTTGACTGAATGTTTTCCACCCAGGTGCAGATCTGAACTGCCACATGTGGACTCACCGTAGTTATGGAGCAGGACAGGTGTTTACAGGGAGCAGATCAGGAGATGGGGACACTGTAGGCAGGTCAGGGTATGAAGCCTTAAATTAGAGACCAGGCCCTCACCAGGCCCAGTTTCCTCCAGCAGTAACCACACCATGCAAGAATGTGCATTAAATCTGAGTAACTGAAAGGAGTTACTCACAAGATTATATATTATAGAGATAGTTTGAAGATACAATATAAATGGTAGCATTCGTAAGTAAAATGAGATGTGACCCTTAATGGATATGTGGTGTCCATTGATGTCCCCAAACCACATGCATCAGAAGGAAACAGTCTGATGAACAGAGCAATAAGGAGCACAGGCAATGGGTAAAAATCACAGCTTCTTAATAACAACAACAATGCTGGGATACAAAAAGTGCACTGGTGAATTTTATCCAGTATATAATAAAGAATAAATACTGATTGTTTTTCAATTCTTTGATGAAGTTGAAGAAAAACCCACCACCAACTTCTTTTAAGTGACAAAGTTAAAGTTATCCTGAGAATGAAGCCAGACAATAATGTGTTAAAAATAATATAAATGAAAACACTCTGTTGGCTAATATTCCTACCAAACATAAACAAAAGTGTTCATCTAAATGTTTGCAACATTATCTTACCAGCATATTCAAAATTAACCAACATGATCAACACTGGACTCAATCTCAGTGGTGCAAGAATGGTCCCTCTCTAACAAACTGTTTCCACTGGTTTTAACGTGTTGTATCTTACTATATTTTACTATATGTGATAGTATAAAGAAAAATTTTATAGGCAAGGAGATAATATAGAAACCATTGTTCGTTTTCTGTTAACTGGTTCTAAATACCCTGTAATTCTTTCATTCTGTTGAATGGCTTCACGCTGTCTTGATATGCTTGATGCTATCATATACGAAGTTATACTCAAATAATTCAAGGAATGAGGCACTATGGTGACTACTATTATGTTAGATTATCTGGCAGTGAAACACAATTATGCTAAAATTGTTCCATTCTGACCAGTGTTGTTCTATTACAATATCCTCTTTTATCTCAATCTCCACCCTTTTCTTAAATTAAACTTTTTTATTTTTTTCAATTAACGGAAAACTAAATTTAAAAATAGCGGGATATATTATAGTAACTATTTGTTTTACTATTAACCTGATTTGAACCCCAGTATTGCTCTCCACATCTTGTTCTGCCTGATTTTACTATATTCTATTTTGTTTGATAATATCAAGTTTGAGCGTATAGACAACAACTTTGAAGGCCATAAGATTTATTATGATGGCCCATTATAGTTTGACTATTATCTTCTTTTGAAGTCTTGCAAGGTTTCCAGTGTAGGTTTTTTTTTTTTTTGGTCTTGTTCTGTACGGTTTTGATCAATTCTATTATACCTGATGATATAGCAACTCTTTTTAAAAATAGCAAGAGGCACAATGGTAACCATTTTTGATCATCTGATATTCTATTTTTGCATCATGTACTATGCCTATCCTTCTTTTCTAACTGTCTCTGTTTTATTTAGTCATGTTAGGATTTATTCTCTTCAAAAAAATGTAATAAGAACTGTGGGAGTAAAAAAACTCAAAACGTGTAACTGTTATTGTAAAAAAGAGTGGAAAGGAAGGTGGTCTAAGGGATATAACTGCATGCTTGAGTGTGTAGGATGGAAAATCATATTACTGAGCTTTTATTGGATCACTGAACAGAACCTTCTGCAATCTCACTGTATGAATGTCCACTTTATATGCTTTAATTTTATAATTTGGACAACTGTTTCTAAGATGACTGAAAGGGTTTTGGCCCAGATAGAACACTGTAGCCAGGAAAGCCACAACCGGAAGCAGGAAGCCCCATCTCCCCTGCTCCTAGGAAGTTACCTGTGATGCCATCTTCCCACCCCTGGAAATTTACATATGGCGCCAAACCTAGGACCAATGGACTACCTGTGTATCCCTAATGCCCGCCTTAGGTTCCACCCCAAAACAAGCCTATTTACAGGCCCCCATGCCACGTGTCCGCTGGAGAGATCACTGGACGCCAGCGATGGGGGTGGCTGTCATCTCTCTCCGTGTTCTCAGAATAAAGGCCACTTTTTATTTTATATTTCTCATCTTTTGTTAATATTTTTCATCTTTTGGAAATAACCCTAGCAATGGCAATATGTAACCTATTAACTAGTGATTTCTTACTCTATTTTTTCTTGAAATTCTGTATTACTTGTACCCATTTACTGCTTTGTTTTTTATTTCTTTCTTCTCTTTAATTAAAAAAATCATCAAACCTGGAATGGATAACTTTTATTTATTTATTTTTTTGGCTCTGGAGATCAAACTCATGACCTCACACTTGCCAGGCAGGTGCCTTAAGCCACGGAGCTAAATCCCCAGCCCACCAATGGATATGTTTTAAACCTTGTCATCTTCAGAGTAGTTGCCTCTGCTCTTGAACTTGATATCAGCAAGCATACCAAATGTGAATAAAATCAGTCAAGGCCAAATAACATTGAAACAATCCAGCTTCAAAGAAGATCATTCATAGAAGACAACATAAGTAATATAGGGATTCAGTTTTAGTTAATAGGAAATTAAGGATAATTACCATGGTATAACCTGCTATTTTTGGGTTATCTCTCTGTGCCCTCAAATCTAATATGAGTAGACAGACCAGAACAAAATATAACCAAACTATACAGAGCAACAAGACTACTGTAGATTTTAAATCCTGATACACTTTTAACTATGTCCTCTGCCTTCTTTTTTTAGGCAATTCCTCACCTTTCTCCTTCTCAGGATACTATTATTCACTGTTCAGAGTGATATTAGTCTCGTCTCTTATGTTCCATTTCAGCATACATAAAGATAAAGACAGCTACTACAAAGACAATGAGAGACATTATGGTAGTCATTATCGACTTCCCCCAAATCAGTCTTGAAGATCGAAAAAGCTTGCATCATCCTGTAATTATTTGATTAGTTCTATAATATTCAGTATATATTCAATGTGTGTGAGGATGGGAACAACTATTTGGAAGAAAACTAGAGACAGTAAGATAGACATTCCCAGTGGATTTGCTTTGAAATCTGTGTTTCCTTAACTTGTTTCCTTATGAACTGTTTTGCTCTGTTTCGCTATGTTTAATCTTACCCTCTTTAAGAAAAACAAGTGTGTAGGACAGATAGGCATATTAATAACTTTTTGGTGGATCATTGAGGTGAACCGTGACAGTGTCATTATTTGAATATCACTTTGTATGCTTTAAATTTGTAACTTGAACAACGATTTCTAAGATGACAATATAATACTAATCAACTAGTGATTTCTTATTATTTTTCTGAAATTCTGTATTATTTCTACACTTTTTTTCTCTTTAAATAAACAACATTACAATTCACCAGAAAATACAAAATTTTAGTTTTAAAGACAAAATATTAAGTACAGAGGCACTATCCATACTTGAAAGTGAAAAGCCCATTTCAGTTTAGCATGTTTAATTACAAGATGCCATGTTGAAGCACAAAAACATCTAGATTGAAAAATCTAGAGAGGTACAAGTGATTAACTGAAAACTATACAACATGTGCACCTAAGGAGAGCCCCACCACAGATTTGTCATTTCTGGAATATTTGTGAAGAAATATTGACATCTAACTTCTGTATCGATTATTTCTTCAGGTCTCCTTGGGATTTTTAAAGTAAACTTAGATCTAAACTGTCTGAACAATGATGATTTTTCTATGTATTTAACAAGAAACATGGATTGCTATATTTCTCACATTGGTATTCCACATATCATCTCTGCCTAGTGAGCTCTTTCAGATATGTAACAATGATCAAGTATGCTGAGAGTATTCCCATCACACATAGGATTTATCTCTTGTGTGAGTTTTTTTCATGTATTTCCCTTACAATCTGGCTGCTGAAAGTGTCTCCACTTGCTTACATAGCCAGTGGTTCGTCCCAGTGTGAATTCTTTCATGTGTTTTGCAATGACTATATGCAGTAAAAGCTTTGCCACATTGTTATATACATAGGCTTTCTCACCAGTGTGAAGTCATAGATGTATTTTACAAAATCCATGTGTGGTGAAAGCTTTCCCACATTCTTCACATACACACAGGGTTTCTCAACCATGCAAATTTTTTCATGTATTGGACAAGGAGCATTTCTGCTGAAACCTTTCCCACATTCCTTACATATGTATGTTTTCTGCCCTGTGTGAAGATTTTGATGCATTATGCAATATGTACATGTGCTGAAGCCATTCTCCTGATGCCTACATACACTGGTTTTATATTGAATGTGAACTTTCATGTTTTTTACAATCTCCCTGTGTTTTAAAAGCTTTCCCACATTGCTTACACACATATGGTTTCTCTCCAGTGTGAATTCTTTCATGTTCCTTACAATGTCCAGGTCTGGTAAAAGCTTTCCCACATTGCTTACATACATAGGGTTTCACTCCAGTGTGAATACTTTCATGAACCTTACAATTTGCACGTGTGTTAAAAGCTTTCCCACATTGCTTACATATATAGGGTTTCTCTCCAGTGTGAATTCTTTCATGTTTCTTACAGTATCCCCATGTGTTAAAAGCTTTCCCACATTGCTTACATACATACGGTTTCTCTCCAGTGTGAATTCTTTCATGAACCTTATAACTTGCACGTGTGTTAAAAGCTTTCCCACATTGCTTACATACATACGGTTTCTCTCCAGTGTGAATTCTTTCATGTTCCTTACAATATCTAGGTCTGGTAAAAGCTTTCCCACATGCCTTACATACATAGGGTTTCTCTCCAGTGTGAATTCTTTCATGATTCTTACAAACTCCCTGTGTTTTAAAAGCTTTCCCACATTGCTTACATACATACGGTTTCTCTCCAGTGTGAATTCTTTCATGAACCTTATAACTTGCACGTGTGTTAAAAGCTTTCCCACATTGCTTACATACATATGGTTTCTCTCCAGTGTGAATTCTTTCATGTTCCTTACAACGTCCAGGTCTGGTAAAAGCTTTCCCACATTGCTTACATACATAGGGTTTCACTCCAGTGTGAATACTTTCATGAACCTTACAATTTGCACGTGTGTTAAAAGCTTTCCCACATTGCTTACACACATAGGGTTTCTCTCCAGTGTGAATTCTTACATGAACCTTACAATATGCACGTGTTTTAAAAACTTTCCCACATTGCTTACATACATAGGGTTTCCCTCCACTGCAATATTTTTCATGGCTCTGAACATCCTGGTGTGTTTCTGTTTCTTTCACATTCACATTACCTTCTGCAGTACAAAGGAATACTTCTTTACACTGCTTCCAAGATGTATGTCCATAAGATTTCCCTAGCTTGTCATTTCTGTAAAGAAAAAATCACATATAGGATTTATAACCATATTACTAAGCTTGTCTTGGAGAGTTGAACAAAACTGTTTGCAGTCTCACTGTTTGCATCCCCACTTCATATGTTTCACTTTTGTATTTCATAACTATTTCTATGATCAGCATTTGTAATCATCATCTTGTGATTTCTTACTGTTTTTTTCACTTTGAAAGCAGTATTATTTCTACTTATTTTGTCTTGTTTAATCTTTCCTTATATTAAATTTAAAAAAAGAAAAATTCACTGTGAAATTGGTCTCCGTTTAATGACTGCATTAATATCAAGTTCTGTTTTTAATGCCTGCTAATAAATTCTAACCAAGAAGCAACAGAATGGCCTTGTAAGATATGTTGAAAACAACCATTCTGAAAAGACTGGTACACGTTTGGAAATCTTAAAAGTTGGCACTTTGAAATGCATAATCTTTAGCTTCACTTTGGGTATGGGTACGTATGTGTATCATATGCAGATTATTCTCATATGTTTCCCCATCACAATCTCCCTTCTGTCCTTAATCTGTAGTTCCCTTTTCCATATGGTCAGTCTATTTTTCTCTAACAACTCTGTTTTATTTCTTTCCACATTTTGTATTTTGGTTTCTCATCTAAAAGAAAGCCAGTGACCTTTTAGGTTTTATAGGTGAGTTATTTCACTGAATTGATGGGTGAAAGACCTATCTAATTCTTATGGCAAATGACATTATATTATTTATTTTTTGACGTTCTATAGCACATTTTTTCCATTCTGGGCTGGGAATGAGCAACAGATATTAGCATAAATCTATAGCTTTTTTAAAATATATTTTAAGAGATTTTCATAGATCATTAAGCTGTGAAGTTTGAACTTGAAATTGCCATTCTGCAAAATCTGATTCCTAGTGTGCTGGGTTTACAAGAATGCAAAATCACAGAGAGTCTATTAACATTTTCCTTCTCCACAAATCCAGTGATAGATAGATAAGCTTCAAGGCCTGATCTGTTATAACTTGATCTGCTTTGTATATGAGTAAGCATGTATCAGTATTTTATGCAGATTTTGTGATTTTAAAAATATACAGGACAAGTATGAGGGGATCAATTTCTAGAGACAACTGCATACTGATATTAAAAATGAGTGCACTAACATTCCACCAGCCTACTAAGAATATTAGTCAGAATCGCCGATTGTCTACAGCATGGCTTGGAAACATGAGCACTCAGTTTTATTTCAAATTCTATTGCAATCTTAGCAATTGTTAGATAATGAATGTCTTGTATTCACATATATATATGGGTAGAAAAACTAAAGGCAGAATGTCATAACTCAAAGTGTATGCCTTTCGTACACATCTATATGCAATGTCATACATTTTCATGATTTAATTCCCTCATATATACACTAGCTTATACATCTTTGGAGAATATTACTGACATTAAATTGAATGGTGCCTCATTTCTTTGCTGATCATTTTTTACTGACTCACTAATTACTCAGGAACATTCCTCTCCTTGCGAGTGTGAATTACCTTAAGTTTCTCCAGTAAATTTTGCCTTCTTTTTCAGCTTCCTGGATATCCCCAAGTCCTCCTGAATTGTAGACATAGAAATACCAGGACTCAGTTGAATAATACATACAAATTAATAGATTTTGTTTAGATTTATGATATAATGTGTCCAGGTCTGAGCTATTTTTAAAAATATTTTCATATTCTTTTTAACAAAACAGCACTAATGAGCAACAAATAATATTCTGACAGCATGAGTGCCAAAAAAGATTTCATCCTTACCTATTGCAGCCATGTTCCTAAAGATTTCACCCATCACATCTCTGTAGAGGTTCTTTTGGGATGGACTCAGCAAACTCCACTCCTCACTGCTGAAGTTCACAACCACATCCTCAAAGATCACCGCCTCCTAAAGGATCATACATATATTTCTCAAAGGAAGCTTGAGACCCCAGGTTTGCGATATCTTAAATTCTCTCCTACAAATCTGAATCAAAAGCAAAGTGTGGTGGTGCATATCTATAATCCCAGCACTCAAAAGGTGAGACAGGAAGGCATCAGTGAGGTCAGGCCAATTCTAGGCTCTATAGGGTGTTCAAATCCAGCTGATATACATACAGAAAGCTTTTCTCAATAAAACAAAACTAAACTCAACAAATAAAGGCAAACAAAACAGCTGAATGAAGACTGATTTGTTCAAATTTAAATCTATGTCTTGGTCTTTAATTTTGTGTCTATATACATTTTTGAAGACAGCAAATTTGATACTAGATTGCAACTCACTGCTAATATAACAGCCAAATAGGAGCACTGATTCTTGTGCTGAGTCATGGCAAGATTCCCTGTGCTCTTTCTCTAAAGCAGAGCTCACAGTGAGAAGCCTGCAGGACCAGCAACCACAAAGCACAGAGGCAGATAAATGTCTCATCAATTGCCTTGGAAGCCAAGCAAGCACCTCCTCTCCCTAGTCAGTGGTGGCAGTCTGGAAAACTGCAGCCCTTCCAGGGGGATAACCAGCAGCAGCTCCTAAGATCCGTTCTATGTTGGAACTTAGGGCGCTGTGAAACCAAACAACCAGCCTGTCTCCCTAGTAAGCAACACTGAACCTACTGATGCACCACCTAGAATCAAACATCCCACTTCCCTACCCCTCTTCTCCTGTCACCCCACATTAGCAAATGGGAACCAGAAATCTGAGCATCTCCTGGAATGTAGACCATAGCAAATAAGGGGGACTTCCTTCTACTATCTCCTTGAAGGAAAACGTTTTTATTATTGTTTCACTCTATTCTGATTAATGGTACTGCTCAATTCAATATTCTGTTTTGATAAGTTCTATAATGTTCTGCATTTCATCTCATTTTGATATATGTGATTAAAGAACAACTATGATAAAGATAACAAAATATACTGTGATACATATTACTGTTATCCCAGTAACCTGTTGTGACGTTGTGTACCAATTTCACTGTGTGATCTTAGTTGACCTTAAGCTGCCTTGTTCTGTTCTATTTTACCAATTTCAAAATTAAATAAAAAATCTCAGTAATCACTTTGATAGACTACAGATGATGTCTCTTCAAATCTCATTTAGGCCAATGAGCACTTTGTTCTTAATATACTTAAGCAGCATTTTGAAACATGAATTTGGTTTCATAGAACAAAACATAAATAACATCAAATATGGTATATAAATAATAACTCAAGTGTTAGTGGAAAACAGCTGTATTTTAAAAATATGTATATAAAATGAAACCAGGCCCAAGCTGTAAATTAAACATCACTGTCACCAAGTGATCACTTTCAATTCAAATATAAGAAATATATCTTGGGAGGCTGGTGAAGGATTTCTTCCTTGAATTTGGGGCTTTCCTAACTTACAGAGCTGTCGAAAATAGAAAACCCTGATTGAGACACCGAACAGACAAAGTGAAACTTAAAAAGAGACTGCATAACACACCTTTGGTTAGTTTTAAAAAAAATTATAGCCACACAATACAGAAAAATTCCAACAATATTCAACACTTTCTCAGAAACAATGTGGATATCGTCCATACTACACAGAAAATATTTTCATAGTTGCGTATTTAGCTCAGTGTCATGAACACCTGCCTGGAAAGCATAGGTCATGCGTTTGATCCTTGGTACAAAAAAATTGAAAATTTCAGCTTCATGACAATGGGGCATAATTAGAGATAATCAAATTAGATCTCACGTATGGAACACAAAAATTATGGGTTGACAGGGATGTGGAATACTGATTGTTGCCAGAGCTGGTGTTGATCACCTCAATGAAGCAATCAGAACCCAACTTAACTTCACACTTACTCTAAGAACTACCTGACTTTCAGTGAAGACGCTCTCTGTTGTATGTCCTGCTATTTGCTGCCTGCATCCTGTCAGCCACTTCCACATCTTTTCCACACTCCTCTGATCCATCCAAAGCAGAAAACCCTTCATGCCTAACTATCGATATCATTGCAAAATTTCTATTTAGGGCTTCTCATTTGCACCACTTAGATAAGTCCACTGTAGAGAATTTCCATATTTAAACTGTCTATTAACCAAGCTACTAAATCAGCTCTTAATTCAGAGGTGACACCCCTATTCCTTTCCATTCAGAAGGGTATCACGTGTATATGACCATGCAAATGTGTAAATTTTGGCATTTTTCGATGAGAATTTAACAAGTAGCCCTTTCTGGAATCTGTCCTTCACAAATTTTTACCCCGTCCTTGATAACACTTTCATATTTACTTCATTTTTCTCAGACTTCAAAACTCTATGGCTGTTCTCACAAACCTAGTCTGTGAGCAAGGGTACCACCTAAATAATTAAGTATGTTCAGAAATTATTTTGCACTAATCTGTATAATACACAGGAGTTCACCAGTTGTTTGGGAAGCCTTTCTCTGCTGAGGCACAGTACTACATATCTCTGAATTCTCAGACCTTTGTCACTACCTGTCATGAGGATGG